CGTTCATCATTTAAAATTTTTGTAGTTTTCTGTATATGTTTTATCTGTTCCATTATCGAAAAAAAATTCTCATAATATATTTTTTCTTCTTTTAAGAATTGAGATCTTTTTAAACAGTTTTTGTGTTGTCGAATTGTGTTAGTCTCAGTTTTATTGTTTATGAATTTTATATTTCATATACATTCATACATATTTTTGTGCATTTTAATATTAATACTTTTTTTATATAAACCACAAAAAAATTTCCTTACTGCAGACATATTTTAAGGTCGCGGTGTTTGCTTTTCGTAAAAACGTTTTATTCACCTTTTAACTATTGAATACCCATTATCTGAAACAGTTCTTTCTCTTCTTATCTGAAGGCTTCCAATGTCAGTGGACACAGTAGCCGTGCAGCTTGAGCTTACATTAGTCAACCTTTTAGTGACTGATACTTTTTCAGAATAATTTTTAATGGAAGAACTGCTGCATTTCTGAGCTTAACTATGTAGGCCCTGAAAGTTTTGCGCAACAGGTAAAAATAACTGCGCATAGGCGGACAAACATCGGGTATATATTGCATGCTGCGAATATAAGATTACTCCTACCATTGGAGACATATTCTATAGCCACTTCTTGTCATTGATATGATCGTTACGATTTTATAAGTAAGTCCGAAAATAATCGTTAAAAACAGAAATTGAATAAATCAATCAATGATTTCGCCCTCAATTATCGGTAAATATAAGCGATGAGCGCTTTCGCAGCAATCGGAATGAGTTGAGCTTTCAGTTTTCATTAATTATCAATGCTATAAGTAATAAAATATGCATTGTACAAAAGACTTAAAAATAGAAAGGTTTATTATTATTATCATAATATATTTAGACCAAAGAAAGAAATAAGTAGCATGACCACGACAACTTAAACTATTGTCTCTTCTTGTTTTTTTAAAGATAGATTAGTTAGTTAGTTTGTTAGCTTTTATAAAGCCAAAAGGTTTGATATATTGATATTAAGTTCTGTAGGGATTTTTAAGATGTCCACACAGATTGGTGCTTCGAAAACTAATTTTCAAATATTAGAAAGGTATGAGTAATTTTCGAATATTGGAAATGTTTTGGTAATCTTCGAATATTAGAAAAGTCAAGTATATGCTTGTTCCGTAAAATTTTGTCAATAATTACATGTCGGGTGACTAGATTTATTAAGGATCCATCGATTTGTTGCCATGGTACGCCCAAATCAGATTTTTGGAAATATTTCGATCCGGATTTTTCCGACGTTGATTACATATAGAGGTGGAACGAGGTTACGATTAACATGATAGTAGTCTAGTAGATGGCAGTGCTGTTTCAAAAGTAATAATGAGAAATTGTATACGTATTAAGCTGAATTTTGAAAGTGAAAAAATAAGGAGGACGATGATTTAAGAATGTATTATTGTGCTTTCGCATATGTTAGCTATGTATAGTGCCTAGCCGAACTCACGGTCTTAGGAACTGCGACGTAACAATCTCAGCGAAATATTCCAAAGTGTTAAAAAATTAAAAAGCCATTTTGCTCTGTCGTGAGATAATTTGTATACAAAGTTATAGTTGATAGCAAAATTAAAAATAAAATAAAAATATATCATTGGATATATGCCGATATAGCATATTCTACTGCATAGCAGATCAGTAGCCAATCAGCACAGTTTGAGTCATGCACAATGAGTTATTGTTTTGATAACCCAATTACACATTTGTAAAATAATGCTGATGAATTAATTTATGCAACTAAAATTAATAATATTATTAATACGTGTACGCTCTACGGTACACTATAAGAGTTAATTATATTATATATGCCTTCATTTTATATCATGATATATAACTTTTTTGCGATTTCAAGTTGTAAAAACAACAAAGTAAATGATTGCAATCGATTACTGTTGATCAAGCTAAGACGGGCAATATGAATCCGTTTGATTTGATATAAATAGATTTTAACATTCAGGCACAGGTGTAAAAGTCTACACTAATATTAACTAATAAGCCATTCGACAAAAAGAATCGATACCCGTAACTTTTATATGCTAAATACCAGCAATTCGCATCAGATGTACTCTACATTATATCATAATGGGAGATTTGATCGATTGAACTATGTCCGCTATTGCAGTAATATTGTGATCAGGATTTCAAAATTGTTACGGTTGACCATTAAAAATTTATATACAGTTAAATCAATTGCAAATAGTTTTGATTCATCTATCTCGAAGAATAACAAAAATTTTCTAGTACGGACCTCAAATTTTAAATTTAATCTGAGAAATTAAACCAGAATAGTGAATACAGCGTCCAACGTTATTAATGGACAAAATGACACGATCAATTTAGCTTTACATTTTTTTATTAAAATTAAATATACGTAAATCGATATTAGATACGTATAGTTCAATATTACAAATCAATTCACAATCTCAGGCTGATTAAAATTATACAAATTATGCATAATAAGAAAAATTTGTGGGCCACAGTTAATTTGTTTGATGAAGCCTTTCATTACCATTTATTTCAACCATTGTATATTATTATTAATATTCATCGCGTAATTACCGATGTATGAACTTAACATAGCAGCTTTTCTAACAATCCAATCTTGTTATGTATCACTCCAACAAGCATGCAACTGTTCATAATCCGACGCAGCAATAGTCGAGTTACGTGATGACTTGTCCATTATCTACATTGCTTAAAAAATATTAAACATTACATTAAGTAAACAAATCGCAAGTGGCTTCAATGAATTTTTGTGAATATTGTCTTTCTCCCTACAAGTCGTCCAATGACGGTTTATGTGATGAAGAGTATAGGAGACTTACAACCTACTAAGTCTTGGTTTTTCCTGTGTTTTCAGTCTTCTCCTTTTGCGATCATAAAAATTAGATTACGTATAAAAAATTTACATGTAAACCAAGATAGGGATGTGATGTACGTACTTTATTTTTCTACAAACAAATCTATGTACCTAAATAAATATATATATAAATAAATAAATTTATATATATATATATATATATATATATATATATATATATATAATGTATAAGTATATGCATATATGTATATGTGTTTATATATGTATATATATGCTTATATATATGTATATATTCAATTTATTACATTAGTAAAGTAGCTGTAGACGTATAATTTACAACAAAAAATAAATATTAGCCGAGAATGGAGAACTGTCAAAAATTAACAACGCTAGTATTAATCGCAAGGAGAGAGTCAGAATTAACAAACCCTCATATATATCCCATACACATAGAGGTATAAGGCGCAAAAGAACGACAAAAGAGGGAAATGTAGTTGCTTTGATGAGATCAAATTGAAAACTCTACAAGATAACTAGAAAAGATAAAATACAACACAATGAATAAAGAAAATGGTGAGCTAAGTTCTATGGACAAACAACAAAGGCAGACAGACAGACGTATATAACCGTACAAGCTTATTTAGAAATGCATATGCGAATATATATTCGAGAAGAGAGTTGGGAAGCGAGAGACAGAGAGTGTGTGTGTGAGAGAGAGAGAGAGAGAGAGCGAGAGAGAGAGAGAGAGAGAGAGAGAGAGAGAGAGAGAGAGAAAGAGTGAGTGAGAGAGAGAGTGAGAGTGAGAGAGAGAAGGGGAGAGAAAGAGAAAATAGATGAAAGGCTACAACATAACATAAATGATGGCACACAAATTATGGATAAATGCATTTAACAAATTCGATTTAACGCAACAACTCAACTAAAAGAACTAAATGTGTGTATATATAGAATAATAAGCAAGAGAGAGAATAACGTAATAACAATACAAAGAAAAAGTAAAAACAAAAATGTATCTATGAGATACACATATAAAGCGTAAAAGCAAGGGTAGTTTAGATTAAAGCGAACGAAAGAATACGCGCGACTGACTGTAGTGTAGATTATCGCGTAGGGAGGAGCTTAATGTGCCTATGTATAGGCAAGTAAACGAAGAGAGATTTATATCTGAAAGATGGTGTACAGGAGATTCTTTTCGGTTAAATATTTACTACTTCAAAAGGATTCGCTTGAACAGAAAACCAAAAGTTTCCTGTGTGCTCGAATGTGCGTATGAAAGTGTGTGCGTAAAAGTATAAAAGAAGAAGAAAAATCAATATCTAGTAAGAGGCGTGAGTGTTTGTCTTCTATACAAACAAACATAATACAAACATAAGCGTACATAGACGCAGCCATATATATAAATATATAAACATAGATATATATTTGGTTTTGTTTATTTATGCAACCATATAAACACGCACACACGCACACATTCATAACAAGTCTTATTACACATTCATTCATAAATTCAATTAAAAGCAGCCAACAAGGAAAAATCATAACATAAAAACAAAAGAAACGAAATGCATGCAGCCAATGCAACCCAGGTACATCTGTTAGATGCAGATGCAAACCTTTGTATGCTCACACTTGCAAAATTCCCCTTTACGTCCTCGATGAAACACAGATTACTTTGGAACTTTAACACATTAAAACACACTCACACGCCTACAATAACGATTGCAAGCGAAGCGATGGTGGTTTCGAATGGTCTCTTGAAACGTATTAAATGTGTTTTATCTGCCGATAAAGCTGTAAATATCCGCAAGATTTACTACGCTTAGCTTGTATGTTTATTTGAAAATTTTTAACGCGAGTGTAGTATCCCATCCAGCTAGGCAGGCGGAATACTTTAATTTTGCATTTGTGGTGTAAATCAGTTTCTTCGCTGTATTGGTTTGAAACGATTGTCTTGGGTGTGCGTGTGTGTAGTGTTTTTTTTTTTTTTTTTTTTTTTTGTTTTTTATCTTTTTATTATGGTTTTTATTATTATATTGCGTATGATACTTGTGGCTTAATACTCATCACACATCGTCGTCGTCATCATCAAAAAAATCGTTGCAAATGCAGCTTAACTTACGTAGCAGCAGTCGCTATAGCTGTAATCGCAGTAGCACTAGTAGTAGTAATGTAGTAATAACAGTGTTTCTGTATTAGTTATTATCAGCATCGGTTAGCATATGTAGTTGTGTGAAAGAGTGCGGTTATTGCGTGCATTAAAATAAATAAGTTTATATCAGTGATTTTGTATCGTTTTCGCCGTACGCATTGGTATTTTGAAATTAAGTACAGGCAGCCATAACAGTCAGTCAATCAGTCAGTCGTGTATTGCAAATCCTCAAACGCTTTTAGGAAAGGCAAATAAAAAGGAAAACAGAGACGAAAAAAGAAAGAAAATCACAATCTCATATAAACTGGTTGGCGGCATTTTTTTTTTAACTGCCTTACACTAAAGGACAAAAGACGAAAAACTTACAATAATATTAATCGGGCGCAAATTTAACAATTGTTGTATTGTTTTAAGATATTAAAGAATCAAAAAAATCAAACAAAAGAAAAAAACCAGTTGCAACTGAACTCTAGCGCAACTTTTTACAATTGTTTGGCACGTTTTTATCCTCGGTTGTCAAACAATTGAACCGCATTGTTTTTCATATTTCGCTTCCCGTTTTTCTTATGCTTTTTGTTTTTTTTTTTTTTTTTTTTGGGTTACCATTGGCGTGGGCTTAAGAATATCAAAACATTTGTTTTCTTTTTGAAAATTTTTATTGTGTTGCTTATTTAAATATTTGATAGGGTTTAGGCGAAACTGCCGCCCGCAACATGTTAGTCCCTCCGGATATGATGGCTGCTCAAACACGTATGATCTATCAGATGAATCGTTATTGCGCTGACCGCGTTCAAACTCGCATGTTTAAAACTGCAACCGCCATACGAGAAATTTGCAAAATCGTTCAAGATATTTTAAAAGAAGTTGAATTGCAAGAACCACGGTTCATATCGAGTTTAGTGGAATGCAATGGCAGGTAAGTGATACAAAAAAAGTATTGAGTTCCATTAGTGTCAGGAGTTATATGAATATATTAGTTTTGTCCTTCTTAAGGGTTATTGCCCTTAAGCGAACTTAATGTAAACCAAATTTCTTACTAGCCGACGGTTAAATGAAAAGTTAAGGTCGCGCATACTATTTATGGCCATATAAATATATATTTGGTTGAGAAAGGTTGAAAAAGAGCAGAAACTTTTAGCCAGCATATGTTAAAAATTGGTAACTTTTGTTAAACCATTAAGAATTAAATTATAAAAAGCATATATTACCGAAAGAATAAAAGTGGTACTCCCTGTTCTTATTAAGACTACATCCTTTTATTATTACTGCGAAGAATTTGCGGTAAAGGCAACAACAGATCAGTGCAAAGAATAGTCAACAATCGTAATGATATGTTTGTTTAGAAGAGATTATTAATATTAAGGATTTTCAAAGCACAAACTTTGTAAAAGATTCCGCAGATCAATAGAGTATGACTTATTCTTCAGCGGCCATTACAAGCAATCTTGATCATTTTACAACCAAAATTCCGAACTCGACCGCGTACGTATGAAATTGTACTTTTTATAGCGTCATTCAGGCCGTTATAATTGCTTAGCGTGCACCTGGTTTCCCGAACGTTACTTCCGATTCCAAAATACTTTGGTTATGCAGACGTGTTAACAGATCGAACAAAGCTGCCTATGCATCAAAACTTAAGACGATTTAAAGCTTACGAAAGCCCCTGAGGCTGTCGAAGTTTATGTCGATGTTATTAAAGGCATAAGATGATCTTTGTTTTATAAATAAAATATTTTGAAATATATATTTGCTAAGTTTCAAATTTTCGTTACAAGTAGATAGAGTCTCATACTTGCGAATGGAATTTGTTGCAGACTTCAATAATCGATTAGAATATTTTTAAATGTTTTATTAAGCCTTTCTGTTTTTCGGCAATTAAAAATGTGTTTCTAAGCGAATTACATTCATTCTAAAACTCAAGAGGACGATCTAAGCGAAAAAGTAACGCAGAGTTTCTACATTTTCTATCCCTTACTTTGATAGAACTTTCAAAAACATTAAAGCAAGACTACATATGGACGCATATGGCTAAATCTATTTCGAATCTTAATTTATTCAAAGTTTTGATACATACATTAAGAGGTATAGCGGCTCATTTCTGTGCTACCTGCTATTGACTTGTATTGAAAATCTTACGGTAAATAAAAATGTGTGTAAACTAAGTTTGATCTTTAAAGGTATTTTATAATACTTTGGTATGCCTCTCCGTTGTTAATCGACATAATAGAGAACATTAAAAGTACTCGATTGGAAACGAAACTTGAATTGTTGGTATTTTTAATAAATATTTTAAAGGAACTTGTTACCTGTGAGTATGCCAAGCGCGTTCGTATATCAGTGCCCACAATAACTGGTAATAGAAAGAAAATTTTCCGAAATTTTGTGTTTTTAGGTGACCTGCTCTCAATAAATCTTATTTGTTTAGCTTGCTTTCGATTTCAATATTCAAAATGTAATAAAAAAAAGCATCTTTGACGAATCAAGATTATGTCATCATATAGCCTCGTTCTACTACCAAGTCCCGCATAGCTTACGCTGCTCGACAATTTCTTAGGGATATCATGTTCATCTATTTGCATACTCAGTGTCAATAAAAATAACGCCTATGAATTGCCAGCACTTCCATAAGTATTTATAAGTTGTTACTGTAATGTTTTACAGATTCCGCAGTATTCGATTTGATCAACAAATTTTATTATGAAGAACACTTACCTAGCAATTCACATTCCTTTTTGGTTTCCATATACCCATCGATTTCCTAAATAATGCTAATGATTATAATAGCAGCAGAACCACTTCTCAACAAAACAAATTCGACGCGTTCTTTTAAAAAGAGTTAGAGTGAGTGCTCATAGATATATAAATTGTCGAATTGTTTTGTGAAAAAGAAATAAAGCGAGATATGGTAAATGTAATAATATTTAAACTTTATTTGACCCATATGACATTGGAAAAGACACAAAACTTCTCATGAACCGAAAATGAGGTAAGCACACAAAGTCAACTACATAATCGTTAACTGCGGGTGTATTAGTAAATCGATCGGAACCACTTTTTGAAGCAAACTTGAAAAAAGTCCGGATCCGGAATAGAAAAATTGTCGGTGTTATTCCGGAGCTACCTCAGGTTTTTCTGCATTGTGAGCGTGCATATTGCCAGCTCACAACCATTTTTCTACCCTTAGGTTCTTATTCATTCAAGCACTGCCAAGCCTCAAGTTTCAGCTTCCTATCGTAGGTTTTGTCACTGCGGCAATTCCAAAAAATGTTTCCTTTTGGTAGAAATAGATTTACCTCATCGACATCTTGAAAACTGGAACAGATAACATAGATAAAAATTGGTCGTAGATATTTAAAGACCTTTGAAAGGCCGACATTAGAAAAAAAAAATGATAATAATCATAATAATAAAAAATAAATAAATGAGTTTCATACATCTTTCATATCATATATATTTGGCAGAAGGTATATACAAAAAACGTTCACTACACTGCTTGGGAATTATTTTCATACTCTTGTATTCCGAAAATTTGTGTAAATGTGACGAGTCTGTTAAGAAGATATTTTCCTTTAACTGATATATGTTAAATAACTAAATATTTTTTATGAAAAGGTCTAAAGCTATTACGACTTATTGATTATATCATCGAGCCACATACTTTTAAAACAGAAAGACTTTGCGGTACCTACACTTTTTTATTGTTTTAACAGATACTTTGGATCTTCTCGAATATGTGGGAGAAATATTATTACAATTTCATCATCATGCAAAATTTAACCACTTTTTCTTTGAGAATTTCGAGCTCCTTTTCACGCGCTACGGCAAGAATATCTGTGGCAAATGAACGTCTGCTAGGAGGTTGTAACCAAATTTCATACATATTGATTTGTGGCTTCACTAAAACACGAGCGAATGTCTTTGGAAAGTGTTTGTGTTCATTTAAAAGCATATCCAAAAAAACAAAGAATAGCTTCATCACTGTAACCGTTGAGTGGATATAGTATATAGTGCCGAAAGATGTTTCTAAGAAGAAATTAATAGTTTAGGACAAAGTTTTTGGGACACGTTATGAATTCGGTTATAGAATTAATCTATTTCTTGCTTTTTTTTCCATCCTTTCGTAACATGTAAAGTGTAGCGATTACGCCTTTGACAGATGCTGCAAAAGAGGCCCTTTCGAGCAAGAAATCGTCGCATGTGACCGTATTTTTATAGTGTTGTGACTGCAGATTAGTGAAATATATTTAAAAAAAAAATATCTATAGCGAACTCGAGTCCAGTATCCTCAAATATTTAAGAGAAATATTTTGGAACGGTTATAGAAGTTTTTTTTTTTTTTAATTTTTGCAACGTTCAACGTGTTTGCAGACGGATCAACTCAAGTATCAAATTCGAGCTGGGAATTTAGATTAAATACGCATTTGGTGCATTTCAATATCTCATTTTAGCAGCCAAGGATGTAAAAAACTGTCTGTAAAGATTGCCAGAGAAATTCTCGTACGTTTTTAACTGCATTAAAATCTGTCGAAAAACAATTAAGACCGATTCAAACCCAAACTGAAAAATAATAACATAAAAACAAGATTAAAAATCAAATAAAGTGCAGTATATTAAAGCGCAAAAGAGGTTAATATACAGAAACTTATCCGCGAAGACTAAGCATGTTATGACATTTAAAATAGTTAAGGTAAATAATAAGCTTTCGATAGATCTGCAATAATGAAGCGGAAGCAAAAAAAGAACATAAATTGCCGAAATCCCAGATTATATCATACTTTCAACAAAGCGAGCGTGTCAGGCCATACAAAATGTTGCTATACATTTTGTTTCCTTCATTTTCTGAAATTCTCTTAAATTAAACAAACTTAGCACACAAAACTGAAATGTAGATGCGCTTATTGAATGCAGGATTTGCTGCAGCCAACATCTCAATAGCTTCACTATGACGAGAAAGACGAAGATTAAGAGTTGCGAAAAGACGCTCGAGTAACTTATTACAAGTAAAAAAGACTCTAATGTGTGGTTTTTTAGTTTCTTTTTGCCTTTTTCTTTTCTGATCCATTTGTTCTAGTAAATACGCAGATATATGTACGGACTTGCCAACATATGCATATATGTTTGTTAGTTATATCATAAGATCTGGAAGATTGTAATGTTACATCTGCTACTTACTTGTCTGGAAAAAGGATCAATTTGTTGTGTCAAACTGCCTTTATACGGTAATGATGGTGATGACAATGTTTATATTGCAGAATGGACAAGATAAAAGTACACATATCACGCTTGCACTGATGTGCATTGCATTTTATTAATGATTGAATGTTTGTTTAGTTGTTTGCGTTACAAGCTGTCAGCTACTAGTATTGCTGGTGTTCACAGTGTGTGGTTTAAGTGAGCTATCGAAGAGGTTTTTTGCTTTTATGTCTTTGTAGGTCTGGCAGCAAAGAAGAAAGATAAAACAACTTCATTGTTTTGCTTGATATATCCCGACATGCATATTATAGCGCCTAACAAGTCTGCAAACGCTTGACGAGCGCAAAGGTATAACTTCTAACTTTTGATCATATCTATTTTTAATCGTACATACGTCTCCAAATGATGGCCACTTCTAAACGCACAATCATCATCTATTGCCAAAACGCATTGACATTTCCACGCACCTTAGTTTTATTTTAATTATTTACAATGCTTAGTTATAATAACTGTAAATTATTATTATTATTATTATTATTAATTTCGCCACAGAAATAAATTCTAAGACTAAACTCTTAAAAGCACTAGCATCTAAGGCTATCGGCTTTTATTAAAAACTCTACCGCACTTGAGATTCGAACCCACGACCATTGACTGTAAATTAAGTTTGTACGAATGTATGCAACAGACAAACTGATTTGAAACCAATTGACCTCTTATTATGCCAATGGGTTTAAAATTATTTTCCAAATCGATCTAAATTTGTCTGACTCTCTGTCTGTATATACAATGTTTATTCATTTATTTTTTTGTGCTGAAGTCACCAATCGTAATTTTCAACTGTGCGGCTAAAGACGAGCTTAAATGAAATTGGATTAAATCGAGCAACTTCTACCACATCCCTTCTTTGAAAAAGTGTCTATACGAAAACAATTTGCAATTTCGAACATTTCTCGAAAAAATGCAGTAAAAAACAAAGTTTATTCGATATAATCACTCTTCCAGAAAGTAATCCTCCATAAGCAAATGAGTTTAGCGTGGTAAGTTTGGACGAAACAAATAAAAATTATACTAAATGCTAACAAGGTCGATTCACATAATATACCCTCTTTCCTGCTAAACTTTACGGGTGAACTACTACTATTACTATCGATATGCGGAAGTGATAATAGCTCATTAGATTGAGTCCACATATGCGGGATTCATACATATGGAGAGTTGAACGTTAAGTGCAAGCCAAAATAATATAAAAGTCATCTAAATAGAGTTAAAAAATTTATTTACAAATTTTTTGCACTCATTTTTGCATTTCTCATTTTCGAAGAAGCGAAAACGCAATGTAAACTGATATAGAGATCTTTAGAGGCAAAAATATACGCCAAAAACGATTTACAGAATTTCGCTGCTGAGTTCACTCACAAATAATATTAATCAGTTCCCTATCAAGGTAAGAGGTATAACATCAACACAGAACAACTAACTCTTTCTACTCAAGATATTTACAATTGTCTCGAAATATAAATAAATTGTGCGCATGTTTCGCTGCACGCACAAACACACTTATCCATACATCGAATTTGGTTTACAACTATTATTATTACTATTATTAATTTAGCCAGAGAATAAAGTCTAGGACTAAATAAACTCTTAAAGCACTAGTATCTAAGGCTTTCGGCTCTCTTAAAAATTCTACCTCCTTGAGATTTAAACCCATGGCCACTGAGTTGCTAGTGGAGACTCTTGCCTATTCGGCCATTCAGGCGGATGATTTACAATTAAACCTCAAAGATTTCATGAAGTTTATACATTCTCTATCAAGTCAAGATTTTAATAGTCATGTCCATCCAGCTAATAGAGAATTGCTTGCATAATGAGAGTTGCATGCCGGGCGAAAAATAAAGAAGCTTCTTAATCTTATGGCGCTCTCCAAACATGATTCCATTAAATGAAGAAGTGAAAGAGTAGAAATTTCGACCGATTTTCATCAATTGCCATATTTTAATATTGATTTTTCATAAGTATTCATTTCATAAGTATTTCATATATCAAGGTATATCGTATAATTGTAAAAAATTACACTTTGAATATAACAATCAACCAGTTAAAAGTGTAGGACAAAAGAGCGTTTTATCTTAAATGTTTTCTTAGTCTGGGTGAGAGCATTAACGGTGGTTCCGCTCTATGTTAAGCGGTGTGATATACTTTTTAGAAAAAGGCTTAATAGATGCTTTGAACTTTCTAAAATATGGAAAAAAAAGTTAAATACCTGAAACGAATTTTTTCCTTGTAACTTTTGGCTTTTTTCGGAAAGGATCACCTGTCTACTACGAGCAGTGTTTAGAAAGCGTTTATGTCCGTTTAAAAGTTTCTCCAAGAAAAATATCTTGGTGTACCTTCATTAAGATCACATAGATTAAATGATTTAACTCGTTTCCTTTATTTCAAAATTGGATCGATTATACGAGATACCACTCACATAAAGGTATCTCGCGGCACCCGCATCGATGTTACGGGGTTTTAATATTTTTCATGAATTTTTTTTTTGATACGCAAGTATATGTGCCTGCTTAAATATTATTAATCTATTATTTTTCCCTCCAATTTAAAAATATGTTCAAAAAATATTTTGTTTTACAAAGGTATGATCGGTTAGAAGTCTGATTAGTATGAAATGTGGTCCGCCCTATTACTGCTGATAAGATATTGTATGGTCTCTGTTTGAAAGATCTAATGTTCAAGAAGGCACTGAAACCCTACGTGCGTTGTCAGAAAAATCTGATTAATGTGAAAAACCTCTCAAAATAAACGTTTTTTTAAAAATCTTATTTAAATTTCAAAGATCACAAAAGTTAGATGTTGGTAACCGGTTATGAAAGCCCATCGCTGATAATAGAATTGGAGGTATATATTTATAATTATAATGTAGTGCCTAAAACATAAAAATAAAATTGTATTGCAATCAACACATATACGAATATTCACATGATTAATTAAGGGAAGATATTATAGTTGATATTATAATGAGTGAATCATTAATATTTGATTCCGATAAATGGATCAGTGAAAGATAATAATAACGTAGTAATCGTTAGAATTTTTGCAAGCCGCATAAAAGAAGAAAATTGTACAATTTTAAGTCCTTTTTTCTTTTATATACAGATTTGAAGGTGTTGAAGTGATTTCACCAAATGAATTTGAAATTGTTTTATATCTCAATCAAATGGGTGTCTTCAACTTCGTAGACGATGGTACAATGCCGGGTTGTGCAGTGCTAAAGTTAAGTGATGGCCGTAAGCGTTCTATGTCGTTATGGGTCGAATTTATTACGGCTTCTGGATATCTATCTTCCCGTAAAATACGTGCACGCTTTCAAACGCTTGTTGCTCAAGCATGCGATAAAAGCATTTACAGAGATATGGTGAAAATGATTGGCGACACAACCGAAGTAAAGTTACGTATACGTGAAAGATTTGTAGTGCAAATAACACCGGCGTTTAAATGTTCGGGTATATGGCCGAGATCTGCTGCACACTGGCCGCTGCCTCACATACCGTGGCCGCATCCGAATATAGTGGCCGAGGTTAAAACTGAAGGCTTTGATTTATTGTCCAAGGAAAGCGTTATATTTCAAAATAAAAATAACAACAATGCGGCTAGTATGGAAGGGGATGCATGGGTGCTAAGTTTTTTTGAGGCAGAAAACCGTTTATTGCAAGGTGAGTAAGCTGAAGAAATATAAGAAAAGACAACATTTAAAAATTCCGCTTAATTTTTAAAGGAGGCTGCCGGAGACGTTGTTTAAGCATTTTGAAAACTTTACGTGATCGCCATTTAGAATTGCCGGGAAATCCTATAACAGCATACCATTTGAAAACGTTGCTCCTTTATGAATGTGAGAAACATCCCAGAGACTTTGAATGGGATGAGGGTTGCATAGCCGATCGTATAAATGGTATCTTTTTACAATTGATTTCCTGTCTCCAGTATCGAAGATGTCCACATTACTTCTTACCCACATTGGACCTTTTTAAAGGTAAATCTCCCAGCGCCTTGGAACAAGCGGCAAAACAGGTGTGGCGTTTAACCAGAGAAATGCTAACAAATGCTAACGCGTTTGAAAAATTGTAAAGAAAATATTACAGAAACTGAATAAATAGAGTTAGCAAGACAAAGTAAGAGCTCAACGTAGAAATTTATATTAAACTGTATAGCTAAACTACGATAAATTAATGAATAATTAACAAAAAGAGAAAGAAATGAAAGAGAATAATAAAGCTACACATGAGTAATCTCTTGATTATTCCAACATTAGAGATAAAGGTAATGGAAGAGAAACTGAATTCAGGTTAAACAGAAACTTAGATACCCATTTGCCCAAGGAATTGTGAAGTATAAATCTGCTCTACATTTTAGTCAGTTTGGGCGCTATTTCCCTAGTTAAAAATATGACTACACTTGAATTCATACGGGTTTTCTAAGGAAAGCGTTCGTCATCGAGTTTTTTCTCAAAAACTGGATTCTTTCAATTGTCTGTTGCATGTTGCGTTAGTTTCTGCAAAAGACTTCTAATGGGTAAATTCGGGCTATTACAAACATTTTAACGTACCTCCTCCATCAATATTCTTTTACTACTACTTTCTTAATCGTACATATCGTGACTTGCATAAGGTTTAATTATTTACCCACTACATCTATCATAAGAACTCGAAAATGGGGACTGCTGCATATCAAGACTTCATTAAAGGATTTAAATAATTTACAATACATTCCTTAGTATATAAAAAACTATAATCTATTCAAGCTTTTGAAGTAACCGATGTAAATACCTTGCAGGTGCCTATTATAAATTTTTTTTTTTTTTTTTTTTTTTTTTTTTTGTATAGACAATAGTAGATTAACGAAAACCTAGTGCTTTTATTCCAATCTACGCTCACATTAAATTTTTGGAATATCATTACATAGTTAACGCTTCACTTGAAGGTTGTTTTCGTTGCGTATGAATTGTGATTCGCTTATTCGTTGATTCAAACCAGATTTGTTAAAATTTAGTCCGTGTGACACGTTTTACGTTTCAAACTTAAATCATCTACGCATCTCGGTTATAGCAAATGTGATAGAAGTAAGGCATTTTCAAGCCGACGAGATGGGTGTAGAAGCAAAAACATACCAGTTTATGTGTATGTGGGTGTGCTAGTAATACTCATACAAGAATTACCCTTATACCGATGCAAATATATGAGTCGGCACACATGTACGAGTATTGTCTTGTGAACAAAAATCATTATGACGATAATATCTATAGTAAGCACTTTGTGTTGAAAAGATTTTTTATGTGAATTTGAAAACAATTCGCCAAAAAGAAAACAAGTGTTGATTGTACTTTGCATGCTCGACGGTCATTTTTAAGAAATTAAAACAAAAACTATTATACTATTCCCCTCATAGATCTTGATATAGCATTGAACCTCACTCACAAGTTCCGAAATTCAAAACATAAAACCGAACGTTTATTGTAAGCGACTGTCTTGCCTCTAGCACACCTGCATCGCCTTCATAATCATTACAATATGAAATATGATTTTTTTCTACCTTTTATTTGATATAAAAAAATTAGGACCCATTCTAAATAGATGAAACTGTTACACATTTTTGGGATCTCAAATTAACGATTCTTCGATATTTTTTACTAATTTTCCTACTTATTGTTTAACGCTTTAAGCCTTTAGTAAGAAACAAAAAACAATTTATTTTGTACACCTCCGAAGAGAAGCAAAGATAAATAATTGAAAAAGTTACGCTTCGTGATTCAAATAGCAACATGTGATGCGATTCGCAAATGTCAATATAAGTGACTTGATGAACAAATATGATAAAGTTGCATAAGTGATATAAAGAAGGATATTATAAATACATTTCCTTCTTTGCGTAATGGAAAAACATTTTAGTGATGTGGACCAATTACTCACTTTTCTAAACAGTACCATTAAAATACATGGTTGAGCTTCGTTTTCATCAAAAGCTACTTATACATTGACTTCTATACAGCGTTTTGTGTCGTCCTGTTAGAATCATATATGTGGGAACGTTGAATTCGTTCAAAAATAAGCCGCGCTCTTATTGTAGGAATATCCTCTTGCGAAGGCGGTACGTAAGTGATCAATTCGCGTCATTATCATAAACTAGAACGCATATGCAGCTGCAAAATTTTTTTCACTCTTCACATTCCTGCTGTTAGTTAATCGAACGAGTATAACCCCATATGAGATGCTGACGTTTATAGTACTTTCCTGACAAGCCGTGAATGAAAACAAAAAGAAGTAAGAAAATTAAATTCAGCCGGGACCAAATCTTTTATACCCATCGCCGGTATCCTAAAAAAAAGTAAAGTAAAAGAACAAAATTTTCACGCCCTATAATACAGAGTGGGCGCAGCTGAGTTTTTCTGTTTTCAAAATAAACGTTTTTGCCGTATAGGCGTGTAGGTGTTGTAAGCATGTTCTTTGAAAAATTTATTCCAAATGCTTTTCCAAATTTGTGGCCGATAACTTTATTTTCGCTAACAGAAGAATGTTTATCAAACACTACAAAGTTACACAAATAGACAGGTGGACAAACGAACAGGCAGACGTGTTTGTGTAGATTCCAAATTCGAAACTGGCCAAGACTTAATGGGGATTTTGAAGCTTGTTCCTGTGCGTCATAAAAGTATTGAAAAACTAATTAAATTTTAATACACTATAATATGGGGTAGGCCTGGTCAATTTTTTCCATGTCGTACATAAATGCTAGATCATCGCCCGTAGAATACGTGTTCAAACTTTTGTACATTTATTTGCTGTAGTTTATGAGTAATGAGCAAAAAAACTAGTTTCTCATTACCTTTGAAAAACAGAGGTATTCTCAGTTTGCGTGGTGCTGTGAGCGTATCCTTCGAACAATTTTGAGCATTTTCAATACCAACCTGCGTCCGAGAACTTCGAATATTTCTGCCAAATTTGAAGGCGATAGCTTCAATTTTGTAGCCACGATAATGTTTACAACAGACATTATACAGGCGAACAGATAGACATACTTAAATTGATTTACAATTCGAGGCTAATCAAGAATATATATACTTTGTGGGGCCTTTGATGCTTCCTCGTGGGCGCTGCAAACGTTTTGACAAAATGAATACACCCCTCATCCTTCGATAATGGGTATACAAATATTTTGACAATTTGTAAAAATTATTAAAGCAAGAAGTGTTGTAGGTTTTAATATGGACCCTTGAAAACTTAAATCGTTGATTATAAAAAATCGAATGAAGTAAACGAAAATCATCTTATGTAGCCATTACATATAAAAATTGGGTAAACCTTTTTAATTTTGGTTACTTGAGTTCCCAACTCATATAAGCTCGGTATTTATCAAATTCACGGATTTAAGTCAATTAATTCAGAATATACTCACGATCAAAATCATTATCCGATCTCCGATGCATATACATACCCGGATGTTAGAAACGAAATTACGACATTTGTACATCCTCATCGTGCAGTTTGATAGACTCAAAACTACAGAAGATAACTCTGAAGGTAATAGATATCTAAATATTCATTTTAAGCATGATATATTTTAACATAGAATTCTACGAATGGCAATCGTAATCTAATATTGTCATCATGATCCATATAAAAGTTATGTTTATTCAAACTATCGCATCGTGTACGTTCTAAACGCACAACTTCATATAAGTATAGAAACATATCTTTTCGACAAAAAAATGTTGCTGTCAAGATAACATCAATTGTGTGTCTTTGTTTATGTATATATATACACATATATATCCCCTCTCTACTGATTGCGTTTAATTTGAAGGAAGAATTTATAGATAGTTAAAGTCAACGTTGATATCTTTCAGTTTCAAAGAAACACAAATTCCCAATAACTTAAAAACTTTTTTTCTTTTTCCATAAATTTATTGTTTCCCTTATTCTATTTTAAGTTTTTGTTCATGTTTTTTTTTTTTTCTTTTTAAATTCTTTTTAATATCTAAGCGTCCATAGCTGTGTTCGTTCAGGGACTACGACGAATATATCTATGTGGTAGTTTCGTAAAGAAAAAGTTAAAACAATAAAGACAGGTATAGTATTTTTCTTCAAGGATTTGTATTTTGCGTGGCTGCCGGTCGCTTCGAAAATAAACCACCGATCGATCATAGAAATGTTCAGGTCTACAGTATTCTGTTTATTCCTTATACTTTCAAACCATCTTACAATAGTAACGTTATTTATTCTATACGCTGGCGCAAATTTTGTATAACTCCAACCGATTGTTCGTCAGTCGTCTGTCGTCTGTCGCATATGGCCCCAGTAAACTCGAACTCAGATTAGGATTCTGAAAACGAGTTCTTGTAAAAAAAGGAAATTGTATCATATGCGCCAGGAATAAACAAATAAAACATAAGATCATGAGAAGGTCTCAGAAATAAAGCTGAGATAATTGAGCACCGCTCTGAAAAGGTCCTTTTCATTCACCTGGTTACAGATATTGCAAATTCATCAGTACAAAAACGGTTTTTGTTCAACTTTGGCAATTCACTAATAGGGAGCATTTTCACTGCAAACTTACAAACGGTGCTTATATTCGGGGTCCATTGATGTTTGGTACATTTTGATATTTTCACTTTATTTTGATGATAGTTGCTCAAACTGTTTGGCCCATTGTAGGTATGTTTATTAAAAAACGTTTTCGACAAGAACAGAAAGCCATGAAACAAATTTTCAAGAAATACTATCGAGATGAAATATTACAAAAAAAAGAAAAGAAAAAAGAACACAAGAAAATCCTCAAATAAACATAACGTCGCGTATACAATGTTTATTACGATATAAGTTGTTTTAACGCATTTCTAAGCCTTGAATGCTCAAAAAATCGACGGTGCATTGGCTTTCACAACTGTTGAGTGTTTCACATTTACAGTCTGTTTGTCATTCTATCAAGTTTGTCCTACCGTTCTTTATCTCCAATCTGCATCTCAAATCATTTACTTTATGTGCATTTATCCGACATTTTTTTACCGAATCAAGAATTATGTTTATTAGCATTGTTTGTAGCATGAATTCGTTGAGTTATCGTCAATATTCGCAATATTTATTAGTGCCAACAACAGAAAAATGTTATACAACGGTAACTCA